TTAAAAAAAAAAAAAAAAGAATGAATCCCTCAAAATACATAAATGCTTATGTGGGAGAGACAGGACTCAGAGCCAGGATTTGTTTCCTGCCCCTGCTTTGGACTCACTGTGTGACCTTGGGCAAGTCATCCCCCTGTCTCCCAGAGCCTCCGCCTGTACAACTAAAACGTAGGGTGGGAATGACACATCCAATATCATTTGGATCGCATCACAGTGTTTTTGGTGGAGACTGGCCCTGAGCTTTTGCTGACAGTGAGGCAGAGGCGAGCATCAGAACATGAGCTGCCTTATGGAGCCTAGTGCCTTTCAGCTCCCCACCACAGACCACTTCTGCTTTTGAGCCAAATTTGCATCTGCTTTGCATGTTCTCTCATTTCTCACCAGCAGCTTCCCAGCAGCCTCCCCACTTTGTGGATTCCCTTGCCCAAACCCATCCATGATCCTGTTGCACTCCTGCTGGGGTTCTCCCAGCCCCCTCCAGCCTCCGCTCTGATGTCTTGCTTTTCGCAAAACCGGTTCACGGAAGATTCTCTATTCTCATCCACCTCCAGGTCTTTGCCCCTGCTGGTGCTGCCGCCCGAAATTCCCTCATTCCCTCAGCCAACCTGGAAAAGTTGAACCCATCTAAGTCCAGCCAAATCTGAAGGTGACAGGGCTTTGTGGGGGGGAGAGGAACACAGCTTTCTTAGCATCTCATGTGCCAAAGGCAGATGGGGAAAGAGGAGCTGTCCCCATTTTACAGACACTGAAACAGAGGTTCAGAGACAGCCCTTGGGTCACACGGGAACTGAGCCCAGGCCACTGGCTGCTACTGCAAAGCCCCTACTCTGCCTCAGCACGCGCTTCCCCTCTCCCCACCCTTGATAGCCAGAAACTGGGTTTGCAGGTCACGAAGGGGGAAACGTGTCCAGATACAGGAACTCAATTCTTATCCCAACTCCATGAGGTGGGGGCTGTTATTATCCCCGTTTTACAGATGACAAAACTGAGGCCCTGAGGTGAAACTACTTGCCCAAGATCACACAGCCTACAAGAGGCGGTGCGGGCATTTGAATCCCGGCCGTCTGCCTCCAGAGTGTTGCAGGCAGATGTGTCACTCACCCCTGTTCGGCCCACTGGTGCCTGGTAGCTGGCTGGCCCACGAACACATTCTCATAGTCGGGTGTGGAGGGTCTGGGCAGGACAGCCTCTGGGGGCTTAGGGCTGAGGCCTCGGCTACTATACCTCGGCTGCTTGCCCAAGCCAGACCTGGAACCATCCTGAGCAGCCCATGTTTTGTCCAGGTCGTGGCTGCTGACCATCCAGCGTCCCCGAAGTCTCCAGGCCAGCACTAGGCCAGCAATGGTGAGCCCAAGGAGCAGGCTACAACCAGCCACCAGTGCCCCGATGGTCATCACGGACAGGCCAGGGGGGCAGCCAACCTCCAGGAAGGTAGAGATATTGTGCCAGGCACCAGTAGCTGTGTCCAGGCACAGCAGAGGCAGCTGGCCAGAGCAGTTGTCCTGTCTGATCTGGTGCCAGGATTCTAGGACACAGCTGCAGTCAGCCTTCAGGTCAAGTTTACAGCGCATGGCCAGTGCCCTGTCCACCCCGTCCAGTGGGTTGTTTGTCACATCTAGGACCTCCAGCTTTCCCAGGAGGGCAAAGAAGGGCAGTGGTAGCTCTTGAAGACCATTCCCAGACAGGTCAAGAAGGACCACGTTCCTGGCCTGCAGAGACTGGTTCCGGGGCAGGCTCAGGCCTTGGCCGCTGAAATTCAGGCATGTGGCTGTGAACTCTGTGGTCCAGTCCACGTCCCACGAGGACACGTTGCATGACAATCCTTGGCTGCCGGGATCCTGCAGCAGCAGCGGCAACAACACCATCCACACCAGGGCGCCCCCCATCCAAGCAACCTAGGCAGAGACACCAGAATCCAAGCCCCGCCCTCAGCCTGTGGACACTTCACCCTCACTGCCTGTGTATTAATATTAATGTCAATGTTAATATCAATGTCAATGTTAATATTAATATTATTCTTATTTCAGAGTGACTCAGGCTCCTTCGGAAATGATTAAACGCAGCCTCTAGTGTGCCTCCCCTCTGGTCGGCTCTAGCCTCTGTCTGGCCCCAGTCGCCCCCTCTGGGAAACGGGGCGTACGTAATTCCAGGGCCCAAAGGTCTTGGAAGGCGAGGAGGAGACCCGACCCAGTCATCCCCTCCCCTTCTCCCCGTGGAGCCCCTTCGGGTTAAGTTTCCCTTCCCCTCCCCTCCCCTCCCCACCCCGAATATTTCGGGCGCCCTCATTGGCCAAGACGGGACCATATGCAAAATAAGCGGTTGCCCCGGAAACGGCCCGCCCCTGGCCCAACTAATTGTTTCTTCCGGAACTGCGAAGTGTTGGGAGTCTTGGGCTGATCTGGGGTGGGGCTGCTGAAGGGAGCCCCCTACAATTTGGTTTGAGGCCCCTTCTCGGACCCCAGTTCTAGCGCCTCCGTCCTACCTTTGTGGTCCCACCGCCACGCTTTTGCCTCGGCGGTGCTGGAAGGCTCTGGCGCGGGACGGCTGCGTGGTGGCTGACCTGCACGAGAGGGCCCAAGCGGTCAGCACCCTCAGCGGATTCACTCTGGTCCCGGGCGCTCCTCAGGATCCGCACCCAGAGACTCAGGGGAAGAGGAACTGGTGTCCGGGTGCAAGGCTGAGGGGAAGAATGAAGACACAGAGACACGCCCCCCCTCCCCCCCCCCCCGCAAGACCTCAGGCCCAGGATTCTCACGGGAGGGGGAGGGGCGACCTGCTTCTCTCTTGCTGGAACCCAGTGACTACATGTCCCCCATTAACACCCCGAATGACTGCTATCTCATCAACTCGCTTCCTGGTCTCAACTCGGTTGCCGCCCAAGCCACGCATTCACATATTCATTCAACAATCACCCATGCTGGACTTCCAAAAGGCCTCGGCTATGGCCAGGTTCTGGTGGAGCAACCCAGTCTTTGGAGAGAACAGAGCTAGCCACAGACACACCCAGTCCAGTGGAGTCGGGTCAGGGTCAGAGGGAGGGACAGAGTCCGGTAAGGGTTCCTAGAGGAGGGAGCATTAGAATTGGGGCTTCAACACGTGAGTAGAGTTTTGCCAAGAATTCCTAAAACCTGCCTTTGACTCTCCCAGCTGCTAGCCTCCCCGACAGACTCAGAGCTCCTGCTCCTGTACAGTGATGCCTCCACCGTGGAGGGGGCTGCGAGGAGGGCTCCCTGGGAGAGGAGACGTTGATTTCAGGACTTGGGGGTGAGTCACAGTAGCTGGCAGAAATAAATGCATAGCAGATTCCAGGCAGAAGTCACAACAGGCGTGGAGGCCCTGCAGCTTGAGAAAGCATGGTGGGCTGGGACTGTGCATTTTAGGAGTGGAGTAGCTAGATGGACAGGCTAAGAGGAGGAAGTGGTGGTGTGGGCAGGCGGTGGGCAGTGCTGGCCTCAGAAGCCAGGCCGAGGAGTGGGGCGTTATTCCCAGGGCCGTGGGGAGCCAAGGAAGATGTGTGAGCAGTGGAGGAGTGCTGTGTCCAAAGATTCCTCCAGAGTGAGCGAGCCTGCTGTCTGGAGGTGGGGAACCTGGGCAGGAGACCAGCGTTCCAGAAGGAGACAGGTACCTGAGTCAGACCCAAAGTGAACTGACAAGAGTAGATGAAGGAGGGTGGGCTAGGAGAGGGTTTCCGCCTCCCTGGGGTCCTCTCGTCAGGCAGACCCAGTTCAACTCCCTTCCAGACCTTGACTCGCTGTGCAATCTTAACCCCCCTGTGCCTCAGTTTCCACATCTGTAAAGTGGGATAAATTCTGAGAGCCTTCTTGACAGTGAGAAGCTGAACCCCACCCCCCCCCATGCTGCATTCCTCCTCTCCTCAAACTCTGCCCCTTCCCCTCTTCAGACTCAGAGGGATGGCCAAAGGTTTTGAGCCGAGACTTTTAGAAAGAGCTGGAAATTGTCGTTCCAACGCACCCAAAGGTACTTTTTCCTAACAGAAAAATTGCACATCACAACTCTGAGGCGTCATTTGTTTTCCCCTATGAGACTGGCAAAGATTCAGAAGTGTGCCGATGTTCTGCGCTGGCCGGGCTATGGGAAAACAGGGAAGCCCGTGCCACGCTTCGGGATCACATGTGGCGCTGTCCCAGTGGAAGGCACACTGACCGGCAGAGGCCACTCCGCTGCTGGGACTGTCCTGAATATTTCATGTGGACAGAGTGACAAGGGCGGCAGTGGCATGAACTACCTGAGGAGTGGATAAACGAAACGTGGTGCCTCCAGACAGCGGAATGTTACTCAGTCACAAAAAGTGGTGAAGCGCTGACGCTCCCTTGGTCATGGATGAACCTTGAAAACATCAGGGTGAGTGAAAGAAGCCAGTCACAAAAGCCCACAGAGCCTATGACTCCATTGATACGAGACGTCCGGACCAGGCAAATCCCTAGGGACAGAAAGCAGATTGGTGGTCGCCAGGGGGCTGGGGTGAGGGTGGGGCGGCGAAGTG